CGCATTCAGGTCACATTCACCATTTTGCCCCAAAAAGCGATCCGCCAAGCGCCAAGAAGACAGATACACAGCAAACCACCGACCATCCTTTCAGCCATATTTACCCCGGCAACAGGTCCTGCGGGTATTTGTCATGTACCCAGGGCTCTATAATGAGAGGAGGGGACCGGTCATTGCGCCGTCACGACGAGTCAAACTAAATGAGCCGAATGATTCGCCACAGTCTGGAGGGTTATTTTGTGCACTGTTTGGACTGGGTTTTTAACTTGAACATTAGGGTTAGTTACATCATGCGTAATTGCGTCGCGAGAGAATGAATGTGCCATTGCCGTCCTGTCCTGGGGCTGCTGTAGGGCGACATCTGCAGTCACAACGCGAGTGTGTAACGCAACAGAGAAAAGGGCTGCGAACACCTGTCTCGCTTCAGACTCTCGTCGATATTGTTTTCGCGTTTGCTTTACTGGGTCAATGACGAACAAGAATGTTCGAGATGACAAAAAACTAGTTTAAAACACAGACACCAAGTTTTTTCAATGTAATCTTTGCATTCACGTTGGATTTTTGAAAAAACGTTTATACCATTTTCGCCAGAAAAATTGTTTAATGACGGCCATCATTAAATAAAAAAGTAGCCTACTGAAATACTTGATCTCGAACTTCATTATTATTTTCAAAAAACGTTTTATTTTCGCGGTATTTTCATTTGTAATGTTTTTAATCTTTATTAATGTTAATATTATTTAATTATATATATATATTTAATAATTGTGATTATATTTATTTAAAACAACATCATTAATATTAGTTATTATTTATTAATAACAGTTATTATCTCTGAGTCATTAAAACCCATAAGTTACTCTATTCGAGCTTAATAAAATGCGCCTTTCATTAAAGTAAAAAAAACTGATAAAATGTCTGAAAATTATCAGAAATAATTTTTACACAATCTTGTTTAAGAAAGAATATTATTCATATTTGAACATTTTTGACTGACAAATGAAAAGTAACTGTGGCATAACCAACTTGCAGGAGCCATTGTTGTCATGTGACAAGAAAATCAACATGGACCCTCATTATACAACTTTGTAAAATAAGTTTGAAAACATTGATATTTATCAAATCAAAGTGATATAAAATATTTTACAATTTATAGAACCGACATAAATTCAAATATTACATTTTCTGAGAATGCGTTGACGTTTTATACTAGAATGTTAAAATACTGTTCCTTTTTATCACCTCTTTATTATCACCACTTCATTACTTGCACAGTTGCCTAATAAATGAAGGACACACACACACACACTACTGTGCAAGTCTTAGACTACTAGTATTTTCACCAGTAAAAAAGGTTTTAAGCCTCTTTTTGCTGTAGTGTGTCAATAGGAAATGTCAGTTTACATTTCCAAACATTCCTTTCACCATTAATTGTAATAAACCAATGAGATTTTTGTTTGCACAAGGAGTCTGGCAACAGCCAGTGCTCCACACAGAGATCTGATCTCACCCTCACCCAGTCTGTCTGAAATTACATGAAGAATCAGAACAAACTGAGACAGACTAAATCCAGAAGAACTGTGGCAACGTCTCCAAGACACCTGCAAAGCTACAGTACTATGAAAAGTTTTAGGCACTTGTGTAAAAATGCTGTAAAGTGAGGATGCTTTCAAAAATAATGTCATGAATAGATTTGATCAATTAACTTGTATTAACTAAATCAAATCAATATTTGGTGTGACCATCCGAACATTAGGGTTAGTTACATCATGCGTAATTGCGTCGCGAGAGAATGAATGTGCCATTGCCGTCCTGTCCTGGGGCTGCTGTAGGGCGACATCTGCAGTCACAACGCGAGTGTGTAACGCAACAGAGAAAAGGGCTGCGAACACCTGTCTCGCTTCAGACTCTCGTCGATATTGTTTTCGCGTTTGCTTTACTGGGTCAATGACGAACAAGAATGTTCGAGATGACAAAAAACTAGTTTAAAACACAGACACCAAGTTTTTTCAATGTAATCTTTGTATTCACGTTGGATTTTTGAAAAACGTTTATACCATTTTCGCCAGAAAAATTGTTTAATGACGGCCATCATTAAATAAAAAAGTAGCCTACTGAAATACTTGATCTCGAACTTCATTATTATTTTCAAAAAACGTTTTATTTTCGCGGTATTTTCATTTGTAATGTTTTTAATCTTTATTAATGTTAATATTATTTAATTATATATATATATTTAATAATTGTGATTATATTTATTTAAAACAACATCATTAATATTAGTTATTATTTATTAATAACAGTTATTATCTCTGAGTCATTAAAACCCATAAGTTACTCTATTCGAGCTTAATAAAATGCGCCTTTCATTAAAGTAAAAAAAACTGATAAAATGTCTGAAAATTATCAGAAATAATTTTTACACAATCTTGTTTAAGAAAGAATATTATTCATATTTGAACATTTTTGACTGACAAATGAAAAGTAACTGTGGCATAACCAACTTGCAGGAGCCATTGTTGTCATGTGACAAGAAAATCAACATGGACCCTCATTATACAACTTTGTAAAATAAGTTTGAAAACATTGATATTTATCAAATCAAAGTGATATAAAATATTTTACAATTTATAGAACCGACATAAATTCAAATATTACATTTTCTGAGAATGCGTTGACGTTTTATACTAGAATGTTAAAATACTGTTCCTTTTTATCACCTCTTTATTATCACCACTTCATTACTTGCACAGTTGCCTAATAAATTAAGGACACACACACACACACACTACTGTGCAAGTCTTAGACTACTAGTATTTTCACCAGTAAAAAAGGTTTTAAGCCTCTTTTTGTTGTAGTGTGTCAATAGGAAATGTCAGTTTACATTTCCAAACATTCCTTTCACCATTAATTGTAATAAACCAATGAGATTTTTGTTTGCACAAGGAGTCTGGCAACAGCCAGTGCTCCACACAGAGATCTGATCTCACCCTCACCCAGTCTGTCTGAAATTACATGAAGAATCAGAACAAACTGAGACAGACTAAATCCAGAAGAACTGTGGCAACGTCTCCAAGACACCTGCAAAGCTACAGTACTATGAAAAGTTTTAGGCACTTGTGTAAAAATGCTGTAAAGTGAGGATGCTTTCAAAAATAATGTCATGAATAGATTTGATCAATTAACTTGTATTAACTAAATCAAATCAATATTTGGTGTGACCATCCTTTGCGTTCAAAACAACTTTTGCCCTAGGTGCACTTGAGCATAGTTGTTCAGGTAGCTTTGCAGGTAGGTCTCTTGAAGCATCTTGGGAGACATTGCCACAGTTCTTCTGGATTTAGTCTGTCTTGGTTTTTTTCTGATTCTTCATGTAATCCTCACTGGGTTATTACAATTAATGGCAAAAAGAATGTTTGGAAATGTAACCTGATATTTCCTACTGACACACTACAGCAAAATATAGAAATAACTGGCTTAATAGCATTTTTCTTTCTTTTTTTTTTGGGTGAAAATACTAGTGGTTTAAGACTTTTGCACAGTAGCTCTGGTTTGGGTGGTTTACGGGGGACACAAATTTGTATGGGTATGACAGAGGTATTACAATGTAAAGGTGGTTTTTGAGGACACTGTCTATGTCCCCATAATTAAAATGGCTTAAAAAAACATACTAAATGGTGTCTTTTGGAAATCTAAAAAATGCAGAAAGTATACAGGGTCGGTGTAGGGCGATAGAAAATACCATTTGAACAGTAGAAAAACCATTACACATATGGAGAGTATATAACTTCTACTCATGCTTTTATGCATCCTCAAAGCATTTAATGAGCAACAACCTCAGAATTCATTCACTCATTCATAAAAATCTGGAAAAATTCATGTGTTGACAGTCTCTACTGTGGGCGCGGCGCTGTCGCTGTCCGTGGTGCTAAATAGCAAACAGGTATGTGTGTCTATTAGTCCATATCATTACCATTATTAAGCCCTATCATCTTGTCTGTGACTGAGTAATTTGACATCTTATTCGTTTTAATCTAGTTTAACGGTCACTTTTATTTCTTATTTTTTTCCAACTACGCATACTTGCACAAATATTGTAACAAGATAAATGCAAGAGGATGTGTGAAAATATCTGACAGTAATAAAACACCATCATGTTGACATTTATTAGCCTATTCTTTCGAGTTTCCCTTTCCCTGTCTCTCTTTCACACACACATACACTTATTAAACACATGCACACGAGTCATGGTAATATGAGAGATAATCTACATCTGGTAATGAACACAGACAAAAAGAATGACTAAAAGCTTCCAAAGAATGGCAAAAAAGATCCAAATAACTGCTTCATGCGCAATCATAACGCTGGTGTGACTTTTACCAACACACTATTGATCTGAAGAATCTCACGGACTGCAGAAATAGAGCCCCTCCACCAGACGGAGACTTCAAGATGAGCTAAATGATGCGCAATTGTGTGTGTAGGCTATAGAAGTCAGTGGAAAAGTTGATGCTTCAGAATGCTGAACAAACCGCTTTTCTGTAGAAACATCCTGACACAAAATAAACGAGCTGCTAATCTTTGACATGAATCTTCAACAACTGGGAGTCTACTACAAAAAAAAGAAGGTAATTTTAGGACAACCATGTTTGAACATCGGAATCCACAAATGGTTACAGAATGTAGTAAAACCTAAAACCTGTAGTGACTCTTTGAAAACAGATCCTTTTCATATAATATTTTAATTATTTAATACTATTCCTTGCAAAATCATACATTCATAAATGTAATTAGCTATATTTTTTTTCAAGAAAGAAGTTGATATAGCCTACATTTGAATCTTTTACATAGGCTAACTCTAAACATTCAATTGCTTTTAAGACAATCCAATAGTGGTATACTTAACAGAATAATATAATACGCTTTAGATTATTTCAGAATGTCATGTAGGCTACTGTAACCCTCTAAAAATGTTTTGTTTATTATTTTCTTTTTGCGGCTTATCGGTTCCAAGTTGAGACTGGTCGCGGAGGTTGCGTCTCCTCCTTCAGGAAGCGTCTCTGGCAGCAGATCTCGCGAGAGTTGCGCGGTCGCTCGGCAGCAGTCGCTTTTGTAGCAGGGCTGAGGGAGACGGAGAGAGAAGGTAAGCGGGGAGGCTGCATCATGGCGGACAGAGACAGTGGAAGTGAGCACGGTGGATTCGCCACAGGTCCCGGCCCGATGCACCCGGGCGCCGCGTCGCGGATCCAGCACGACACGGAGGAGCTCGCCTCGAAGCGGGTGGACATCCAGAACAAACGCTTCTATCTGGACGTGAAGCAGAACGCCAAAGGCCGCTTTCTGAAGATAGCAGAGGTCGGGGCCGGGGGAAACAAGAGCCGCCTGACTCTCTCCATGTCCGTCGCCGTGGAATTTCGCGACTACCTAGGAGACTTCATCGAGCACTACGCCCAGCTGGGCCCCAGCAACCCTGACACGGTGCAGGACGAGCCCAGGAGGGCGCTTAAGAGCGAGTTCCTGGTGCGCGAGAATCGGAAGTACTACATGGATCTGAAGGAGAACCAGAGGGGGCGGTTTCTCCGGATCCGGCAGACCGTCAACCGCGGGCCCGGCCAGGGAGCCTCGCAAGGCCAGACCATCGCGCTTCCCGCACAGGGACTCATCGAGTTCCGCGACGCGCTGGCCAAACTCATCGACGACTTCGGCGTGGACGAGGACCCCGCGGAGCTGCCCGAGGGCACGTCGCTGACGGTGGACAACAAGCGCTTCTTCTTCGACGTGGGCTCCAACAAGTACGGCGTCTTCATGCGGGTCAGCGAGGTGAAGCCCACCTACCGCAACTCCATCACGGTGCCCTGCAAAGTGTGGTCCAAATTCGGCGCGACCTTCTGCAAGTACGCGGACGAGATGAAGAAGATCCAGGAGCGGAGCCGGGAGCGGAGGGCGCGCGAGATGCTACCGGAGGGCCTGCACGGGGACGACGGGGACGGGGACGGGGACGAGGACTAATGCATCTATGATGCACAGAACGAATGACTTGATAATCAGACGTTACTGTAATGTGGGATCGATCTACACACACACACAACCCTCACAGACTCAAACAGTTACATCTCTTCACTCATCGCCGGAAGTTACCCACTTACCCACCATTTAACAGTAAGACGCTGCTATCGACAACATGATGTATGAACCGTGTCCAGGATGGTGCAGGAGTGTGTGTATATCCCTCTTTACCCACGTGTGTGACACATCCAAGCTCTTGTGCAGCACTGCAAAAATCCACTTGTTTTCCAGTACAAATATCCTG